TTCGTGTTGCGAAACCTTGTGTTTTTGTAGGTTTTTGGGACACACGATTTTGAAAGCCTTCCGAAACCGATAGGTTTTGAAGGTTTTCGGCATACGCGCGCGACGACGCGCGCGTCTGCACTTCGTTTCATTTTTTGCAGAGGGTTCTCGCGACGGCACACGCGCAAGGGCGTTCGACAGATTTCGACATGAGCGCGCGCGCGAAGCCCCTTTGGTAGCATTTTGTGAAAGTCTTGAAAAACCGATGGTTTTCCTAAGATTTCGCAAGAGCTTTCGCGGAAGCTTTGCAACTCTGTGTTGCGAAACTCTGTGTTTTTTTGGCATGTTTTTTGGAAACTCGATTGCAAAATCCTTCCCGCACCGAAGGTTTTTGAAGGATTTCGGCATACGCGCGCGACGACGCGCGCGTGTGCACTTCGTTTTTTTTTTTTTTTTTTTTTTTTTTTTTTTTTTTTTTTTTTTTTTTTTTTTTTTTTTTTGGCAAGGGATTCGTGAAACAGTGTTATGTTAGAACAACAATGTCACCGCCTAGTGTTCTGTACAAGGGAACCTCAGGGGGGGAACCTGTCCTGGCTGGGATGGTATGATTTCATATTTAGGATGGACGAGTGTGCAGAATATATATTTATATATATATATATGTATATGAAATCATACTATCCCAGGGGGGACCGATAAGTCCGGGGGGGGGGGGGGGGCAGAGTCTGTTCTTTTTTGTTAGAAAGGAGAATTGATTTTAACAAAAGAGTTGACACACACCCCGTGCTGTTGCAAACATCCCACCCACCCACCCGCCACTTGGTTTGCAAAACCCATACGATGGCGATTGCGATGCATGCTCGGCGTTGGCTGGTGCGTTTCTGCGGCCGCGCCAACCCGAGCACGCGCGCGCAGCGGCCAGCTTGTCTGGGGCGACCGACGCGGCCGCGGTGGCGTTGATCGTTGACACATGCCAGCGGGCACTTCATTGCGAGTCGGTGACTTGGGCGGGCGCGGTATCATGGCAACGTCGACAACGGTAGACGTTGCGGGCGACTCCAACGACTTCGACGATGACGACGACGACGACGACGACAACACCGACGACGACGACGCCGACGCTGACGCTGACGACGACGACGACGATGACAACGCCGACGACGACGACGCCGACGACGACGACGACGACGACGCCGACGACGACGACGGCGACGACGACGACGGCGACGACGAAGACGACGACGACGACGTCGCCAACGAAGACGACGACGACGACGAGGGAGGAGGGAAGACGACGGCGACGACGACGGCGACGACGACGACGGCGACGACGAAGACGACGACGACGACGTCGCCAACGAAGACGACGACGACGAGGGAGGAGGGAAGACGACGACGACGACGACAACGACCAGGGAGGAAGGAAGACGACGACGACGCAAGAACGCGCGCACGCTTTTGTTGAAAATCCGTGTTTCGGACACACGATTTTGAAATCCTTGCGAAAGCGATGGGTTCTGAAGGATTTCGGCATACGCACGCGACGACGCGCGCGTCTACACTTCGGTTCATTTGTTGCAGAGGATCCTCGCGACGGCACTCGCGCAAGGGCGTTCGACAGATTTCGACATGCGCGAGCGCGAAGCCCGTTTGGTAGAATTTTGTGAAAATCTTGAAAAACTAATGGTTTTCCCAAGGTTTCGCAAGAGCTCTCGCGTAAACTTTTTTAGCATATTAGTGTTGCGACACCCTGTGTTTTTTTGTATGTTTTTGGAAACTCGATTGCGTAATCCTTCCGACACCGAAGGTTTTTGAAGGATTTCGGCATGCGCGCGCGACGACGCGCGCGTGTGCATTTCGTCTTGTTTTTTGCAAAAGGGATTCGTGAAACAGTCTCATGTTAGAACAACAACTATTCCCGCCTTTTATATATATATATATATATATATATATATATATATTTCTTTTAAAAATAATGTTTTTTCCCTCCCTTCCTAGGGAACCTCAGGGGGAACGATACCGCTCCCCCGGGGATATTGTAAATTCATTTTTCGGATGGACATGTGGCCATAATCATTTTCATGATTTTCAAACCTTTAATGTGTATGGATAGCGCTGGGGGTATTAGAATCTGTTCTCATCTTAGAAAAGGAGAATATATAGATGGTGCATGCAATATCTAATGGCTTTTGGCCAGCCCGTCACCGTGCGTAGATTTGTGTCAGAGCCCTCACGGATGCTTTTGGGTTTTTTTCCGGAACCCACTCATTGCCGAGAGTTCCTTGGCAGCGATGGAGTTAGTATATATCGTGAGGATATTCATGGCCCCAGATGAGCCCAAGAGCATTCCAACGACGGCCCCAAGGCAAAATTCATCGCCTGTTCGTTATTATGCTTTTCAAGTTTCTCCACGTTTTGCGACGGCCCCAAAGGCCCCTAAAACCGCTCTGAGACCGCGCCCCCCAAACGATGCGATCCGAGGAATATCCTGGTGGACTCGCACAGCCGCGGCGCCATCTATCCGCAAGTGTGGTGCCATGTCTCTGAGTAAAGCTTCTATGCGGCCAGAGGTGCTCCGAGAGCCCCGAGCCGCTTCCAAGTCGCCAGAAAATCACTTTCACACGGTCGTGGTTCTCTCCAGATGGCCCACCACGTTGGCAAGGCGCTCCACGAAGGCTTCAGACGGTCCAAAGCGCTCCCCGGACGCTCCAAGAGGGTTCCCAAACGGCTCCCAAGAGGGCCCCTAAAAGGCATTTTTTTCGTATGTTTGATGTGTTTTTGGTGTTTTTTGAGGCGTCCGCCTTTTCGGCCTGCCGATGTTCCAAACTAGCCTCGAAAGCACCAGCACCACCACCCGCTTCAAGGGGCTACCCACGGCCGGCCGGAGCATCCAAGAGGCCCCAAAGAAACTCCAAGACTATTTCCAGGATCCTCCTCCGCCTGAAGCAGGCCGACCAGGTCGCGGTCGGGGTCCCGGACGTGATCGTGTCATAAAACAAATCGCGACGGGAGGTTCTTAGCCAGACCCAGACCTTCGCGTCTCCCCAGACCCAGACATGCTCGCGTCGTGAAGGCATCACGACGGGAGGTTTCTGGCCATTTTCAGCCTCCGGGCGCCCTCGCCGAGCCCCAGGGCCGTTCGAAAACGACCCAGGATGAAAACCCGGTCCCGGGGAAGGGTTCGGGACTTCGGGGATCGCGCCTGTCGAAAGCATCAGGACGTCGCATGTCTGGGGTCTCGTCATGCATTTGGCCTTAGGGTCCCGACAAGGGCCTCTGGCGGCCGTTCGAGGCGATCAGGGCACCCCCGGAGCGCCCTCGGCGAGGCGCAGCTGCTGGAACGCACTCCGAGGCTGCAGAACCTCCGAGGGCCGACGCAAGCGTCCCCAAGACTTGTGGAGGACGATCAATGGAGAGGAAGCATGTTGCCAAATAGTTCCCAGATGTCTAAGACATGTGTTAAAAAGGCTTGTACATGTAAACATATGTGTGAAACATGCTTAGAACATGTTTCCGACATTCTAAGCACATTTTAAGTCCAATGATCGGACTGTTAGGTCGCAGGCCTCGAGGTTGACACCGACACCAAGATCGGCGGCGTGCCTCCACAGAGGAAAGGCGGTCCCAGGCTCGGTGATGGTGGTAATATTCTGGCTTCCAAGGTGGCCGAAATATTACCATCAACACCGAAATCTAGGATCATCTTCCCCCTGTGGAGGCAACCCATTGTGTTGGTGTTGGTGCTAATTTCCAGGCCTCCAATTAGGGTGTCCATTGTCGTGGCATCCACAGCCCCAAGACCTCGACCCTCGAGCCACGACCCCCGAGGCACCGAGAGGGCCAGCGTCAGCCGCTGGAGCGCATCCCGAGGCAGGAAGGCCTCCAGGAGCCTACGAGTTCAGGAGGGGACAAAGACACAGAGGCACAATTCATCGTCGATTCCCCAGAAAATATGGGAACATATGGGAAGTGGGGGGGAAGCCAAGAACCCAGAAAATGTAGGGAAATACAGGGAATCCTATGATTTGTGTATATTTATGCATGTGTCTATTTATGTGTGTGTGTGTGTGTGTGTGTGTGTGTGTGTGTGTGTGTGTGTGTGTGTGTGTGTGTGTGTGTCCCAGGACCCCTTCAACGAGGGCGTCTGGGGCCCCGAACATGCAGCGTCGCGAGAGGTCACGACTGGCGCCCCAGACTCGGCCCTACAGTGGAGACCCGTGCCAAGAAACACCGTGCTTGCCTCCAGGGTGCCCTGGGTTTCTCGGGTTTCGATGGTTTTGCTCTTGGAAGCGCGACGTTCCCGCACCAAAAATAAATGGACATCCTGAGGTCTCAGGGTTGGGTTTCTTGTGGAAGGTTTGTTGTGGTCGAATCCTTACCGTAGACCTTATCTTTCTGCTGCATGTTTGGAGCCAGACATTTTTGAGTCAGATCGATCTGTGAGGGCCCCGGCCCGCTTAAGGCCAGGCCAGAGCGCCTGGTGTGAAAAGTTGGCCACGCCCGGATCTCCAGGGAAGCGGCCGCGACGGCCGCGCCGAGGGGGAGTTGCGGCCTGGCGGACCGCCTACGAGCCGATTCGATGGGTTCGATTTGCCAGCTGGGGCGCGGCTTCGATTCGCTTCGGTTCGGTTCGTTTCACTGGCACTGGCCAGGGCCAGCCGGAGCCGGGCGCGACGACCCCATTCCGATTCGATTTTGGGACGGTTCGTTGGCGATCCGATCCGTACCCCCCGACCCCCAACGTCATGATTTCTTCATAACGTTGACCCCCAGAGCTTTCGGCCCATTCCCTGGGGTCGGTTTTTCATCCTGGGTCGTCTTTGACGGTCCTGGGGCCTGGCCAGGGCCCCCAGAGGCCGAATATAGCGAGAAGCTTCCCGTCCCTTCTTTTGGTCCTCGACTCGAGCATGCCTGGGATCCGATCCGATCCGCTTCGTTTTTCCCACGGCTCGAGCATGCCTGGGATCCGATCCGATCCATTCTCGCGAGTCGATGCGGCTCCAGCCAGCCGGGCGCTGCAGGGCTACGTCGAGCGCTCTGCGAGCCTGGCGGAGCAGGCCCAGCTGCTCGCCAAGGAGAACGACTCGCTGCGGGCCGAGCTCCAGGACGGGAGCCCTGGTTCTACACACATGCCGTCGATCCCATCGATCCCATCGATCCGTCGATCCTGTCGATTCCGCCAATCCCATCGATTCCAAGGAGGACGACACGCTCCGTCGATTCCATCGATCTGTCGATCCCGTCGATTCCGCCGATCCCATCGATTCCAAGGAGGACGACTCTCTCCGTCGATTTCATCGATTCCATCGATTCGTCGATCCCGTCGATTCCGCCGATCCCATCGATTCCAAGGAGGACGACTCGCTCCGTCGATTCCGTCGATTCCATCGATCTGGTTTGGCATGCTTGCGCCGTGGGAGGCTACATCGGCGGGAGGGTCTTGGCCGTCTTCGGCCCCAGGGGGCCCCTCGCCTGGCCCCAGGAGGACCGTCAGCAATGCCACTCGGGGAGAAAAGCTGGTCCCGGGGAATGGGTCGAGACGACCTCTGGGGGTCCACGCTGTGGAAGAATCAAGACGTCGGGGGTCTGGGCCCAGAGCCCATTTCGGTTCGATCGATGTAGCTCGACCTCGGCTCCGAAGTTCCGACGATCCAATGCGGCCCGATGCTCACGTGGCCCTGCCGCGCATCCTGGCGCGCCGCTCCGCTTCGATCTCTGCACCGAGCTGTTGTGGCCCGACCAGATGCCCGCTCCGATCCGATGCGTCTTCGCGATTGGAGGCCGGCCGATCTTGCCTCCTGCCCCTCTCGCGTTCTAAGGCCACGCAGTCGGGCACCGCTTGCAAGGAACGTTTTTGTTGTTTTTACCTAACAGCTCTTGCTGATAGGTTTCTAGTGGTCTCCAAAGAGAGCAGCAAATGACTCCACAGGGGGGTCGGGGCGGGACCCGGAACGGCTGCCGCCGCGGCTGCCGCCGAAGCCCAAATCGCTTGGGACATCCTTGCAAAATCGCTCTTGGTGCTCCCAGAACTCCATTCCCGGGCCACATTTTGGATGCCCGGAGCCAACTGTAGGCCACTTCGTGTTCTTCGACTTCCCAGAACTCCATTCCCGGGCCACATTTTGGATGCCCGGAGCCAACTGTAGGCCACTTCGTGCTCTTCGATTTCCCAGAACTCCATTCCCGGGCCACATTTTGGATGCCCGGAGCCAACTGTAGGCCACTTCGTGCTCTTCAAGTTCCCAGAACTCCATTCCTGGGCATGATTTTGAATGCCCGGAGCCAACTGTAGGCCACTTCGTGTTCTTCTAGTTCCCAGAACTCCATTCCTGGGCCACATTTTGAATGCTGAGGCAGGCTGATGCTGCGGCCGAGGCAGGCTGAGGCTGAGGCAGGCTGAGGCTGAGGCCGAGGCTGAAGGCAGACTGAGGCTGAGGCTGAAGCAGACTGAGGCTGAGGCTGAGGCAGGCTGAGGCTGAGGCTGAAGCAGGCTGATGCTGAGGCAGGCTGAGGCTGAGGCTGAGGCTGATGCAGGCTGAGGCTGAGGCAGGCTGAGGCTGAGGCCGAGGCTGAAGGCAGACTGAGGCTGAGGCTGAAGCAGGCTGAGGCTGAGGCTGAGGCAGGCTGAGGCTGAGGCAGGCTGAGGCTGAGGCTGAGGCAGGCTGAGGCTGAGGCTGTGACTGCGACTGCCGTTGCCGCTGCGACTGTCATCGCGAATGCGACTACGACTGCGAGAACAGCAGAATTCGACAACTGGATTTTCATCTGAATCTAAAGGGGAATGCTTTCAGATATGCTTCTACACATCGCTGTTAGGTTGCTTTGCCGGGATAATTGTTTTTGTTTGTCTCGTTGTTTTTTCTATATCTTATTGTGTTTTATTCGAAGCAGAGAACCTCAGCACAGACGTAAACTTCCCGAGGTCAGAGCACGAACTCCAGGGATCGGTGCTGGCCCCCGCGAGCGGCGCCCCAGGCGGCGCCCTCGGTGCGCTCCGCGTGCCAGGACGGGGGTAGGGCGGAGGTCCAGCGCGGATCTCCGAGCATACGTTTAGCCAGAATTTTCTTCTTCCAGTTGAGGCCTCCGCTGCACTCCGCCTATCCCAGGCCCCAGGGCGGTGTTAGCGTCCTTCTGCGGCTGTGGGAGATCTCCCACGCTTGGTGGCCTCTGCCTCGGTCCCTCGTCGCCAGGAAGGAGAAGGGAGGGGGGGGGTGAGGCGAGGGGGGGGGGGGGGCCAAGCTGGGTCGCCCGCGCCATATCTGATATCCTCCCTCTCCCACCCACCGATCCTTCCCCATTGCGTAGATTTTTCTCTACCCACCGACGCGTGTCATAATGGACCTGGAGCTTCCAAGAGGAACCCATCGTGTTAAGCGCAGTCAAACAAACGGGAGCTGTGTACATGGGAGGGGAGGAAAAAGATAATGAGGATAGAGGAGGAGGACGAGGAGGAAGGGGGGGCAGATGGGCAGAATACGGCAGGTTCGCGTCGCGCGGACGCGGCGGCGACCCTGACACGAGCGTTCAAGGTTGAACGACGGCGGCGGCCTGGTGTCGGCCGACGTCGACGCATCCGTGCTGTCGGAAAGCCTCGATCGTTCGTGCTTGAACCGTCTGCGTTGCGTCAGGCATTCACGCCGACGCCGGCACGACAGGAACCAGCGGTAGGCGCTATCAGAGCCGATGAGACGTCATACGCCTCCCCCCACATGCGCTGTTTCTCCTCTGGCCGTTCGTGCCGCGTCTCGCGCGGGTGTCTCTGTGGGGGGCGAAGGGTCGAGGTCCAGAACAGAACGTCACAGGGCGTCTCCCTCACTACCGCGGTTCGTTCGCAAGCCACGCCGCACGACTCACCGCCTCAGCAGGGGAAGTGTGTCAGCTGTGCAGGGAGCGACGCTCTGACATCAGTGATTGCACTCTCTGCCGTGAGTGTACTCTCATTCGGATGCAACTCCTGGGAGGCTGAGTTCAGCATCGGCGCTGGTATCATCCGTGGTGGTAAACTGGCCTAATTCTGGCATGTCCCTGCTTGACCTGGCTTAGTCCATTCGAATCCTGGCTCTGTCCGGTATAGTCTGGCCTAGTCGGGTTTAGTATCTTTTGATCGGGCTTGGTAGCCCTTAACCGTTCTTGCGTCCAAGAAATTGTCTCCGAACTCTCATTCCCGCTGGCCCTCCCGAACAAGAGTAGCACCCGAGAATCAGCGCCAGGTGCGCCAGGCGTGCCAAGTGTGCCAGGTGCGTCAGCGCTGCGCGCGCCGGTTTGCCTGGTGCGGCAGGCGCGCCTGGGTGAGCCAGATACGCCAGGCGCGGCAGGTGCGCCACGTGCGCCAGCTGCGGCAAGTTCTGCGCCAGCTGCGCCATGTGCGCGAGGACGTCGGCTGCGCCAGTTGTGCTGGTGTGCGCTTGGGTGGTTCAAGCTCGCCGGACGATTTGAGGTCGCCAGGCGACCCAATGTTCGTGGCGGCACACATCGGACAATCTGGTAGAGAACCCGCACCGTCCATATCAAGAACCGAAGGAGGCGGTGGAGGGAGGAGGAGGAGGATGAGGCGGAGGAGGGAGGTGGGAGCCAGAGGAAGGGACGAGGAGAAAGGACGAAAGTAAGAAGGGCGAGGGACTGGAGGAGGAGGAGGAGGCGGAGGAGGAGGAGGCGGAGGAGGAGAAGGAGGAGAAGGAGGAGGTGGAGGAGAGGAGGAGGAGGGAGGAGGGAGGAGGAGAGGAGGAGGAGAGGAGGAGAGGAGGAGGAGGAGGAGGAGGAGGAGGAGGAGGAGGAGGAGGAGGAGGAGGAGAGGAGGAGGAGAGGACGAGGAGGAGGAGGAGGAGGAGGGAGGAGGAGGTCAAAGCCTCCTGGCCGCGTCGGCAGGAGCGCACGGAGCAGCTCCGCAACGCCCAGCTCCTGGCCCCCGCGCCGCAGCTGCTCGAGCAGGACGGTGCCGGCGGCGAGGAGCTGCAGGAGACCGCCGGGCCTCCCTCCTCGGAGCGGGAGCCCCTTCCGTGTTGGGTCCCCTCCTCCTCCTCCACCTCCTCCTCCACCTCATGCTTCTCCTCCTCCTCCTCCTGCTCCTCCTCAACCTGCTGCTGCCCTCCTGCTCCTCCTCCTCCTCCCCTCCTCCTCCTCCTCCTCCTCCTCCTCCTGCTGAAGCCTCCTCCTCCTCCTCCTTCTCCTCCTCCTTCTCCTCCTCCTCCTCCTCCTCCTCCTCCTCCTCTTCGAGCCCCTCGGGCCGCGCGCGCGCGGGCCGCCTGGCGACGCGTGGCTGCAGAGGGGCGCCCCCCTCGCCGCCCCCACGGCGGCGCGGCACGCGTCGTCGCCGCCGTCGGGGTCGCCGCCGGTGTCCCCGCCAGTGTCGCCGCCGCCGCCGCCGCCGCCGCCGCCGTCGCCGCCGTCGCCGTCGTCGTCGTCGTCGTCGTCGTCGTCGTCGTCGTCGTCGTCGTCGTCGTCGTCGTCGTCGTCGTCGTCGTGGTCGCCCTCTTGGTCGTGGTTGCCATCTTGGTCGGAATCGCCGTCCTCAGGGACATCGTCAGGGGCAACGTTAGGGGGCGCAACCTGGCCAGGGGGGAGGTTTTCGGACGTTTTCGTCGGTTCTCGGCGGTTCTCCAGCCTCGGGGTGCGTTCCAGCAGTTGCGCCTGGCCGAGAGCGCTCCGGGGGTGCCAGGATCGTCCCGAATGGCCGCGGGAGGCCCGAGTTGTGACCCAGAAGCGGATCCTTGCAGGGCCAGTGCTAGCGGGGAGCTAGGCTCAGAGGGGGGATGCATCGACCCCCAATCGCCCATTCATCGCCGACAGGGGCCCGATAGTTGAACCCGCCCAGGACGTGCGGTTTCGCTCTCGGGTGCCTATCGCCGGTCTACCAGCGATGCATCGCTGGTTCAAGCTCGATGTTTCTCCCCCCTTCCCTGCTTTGGCCGTTGATTGGATTCGCGCATGCGGCTGCGGAGATCGAAATCCCGATCACATACGGCAAGGAACTTTAGCTTAGCGTATCGCGCCGCCGGTTCTGGCTCACCACGCGTCGGCGTGACACGCAATCCAAGCCCCCATTCCCAAGCGTCGGCGTCTCGAGTTTCTCCCCGCCTCCCGCCACACGAAGCGCAGCGACACCCTGGCCGCCCGCACGGCATGGCGTGTCGCCGGGGCCGCCGCTGCGACACGCTTAAGCAAAAGTTCTCGACCGTACTCAGGAGGGAAACAAACACAGAGACACAAATACTCGTCGATCCCTAGGAAAATATGGAAACATATGGGGAGTGGATGGGGCAGACGGGGATCAAGCAGATACGAAAATATATGGGGAATCCGGGGATTTGTGTGTGTATTTTTTGTGTGTCTCTGGGCCCCTCCATTCGCGAAGGATTTGCTCGTTGTTTGAAAGGCTTGCGCCGTTCCGCCGACCCCCACAAATAGGCGTGGAGTCCACAGTTGAGGCGTCGTGGGCCTCTTGGGCATTCTGTGTGGATTCTTGTGTGGGCGTCTTGGGAGCTGTTTGGGGGCCTGGCGGAGCCTCTTGGAGGCAGTTTTGGAGCGTGCTGGGGCCGCTTCGGGGCCTCGTCTGGGCCTCCTGGGCGCCTCTCGAGGCTTATCGGGGTCCTCTTTTGGGCCGCTTGGGGGCTTCTTCGGGCCTTCGGGGGGCCTCCTTGGGCGGAAGGATCGGATTGTCGGTTCGCGGCCTCCCTCCTCGCCTCTCTTGGGGCCCTCTTGAGGGCCTCTTTGGCCGTCCTGGGCCTCTCTTTGGGCCGCCAGGAGCACTCCCAAGAAGGCCCCACGAGGCAAAAATCATTGATTTTCTCTGGTTTTTTGGTGAATTTTGGGGTTCTCCTCTTTTCGGCTTCCCGACGCTCCAAGACGGCGGTCTTCTGGGCGTCTTGGACCCCTCTTGGGCCGTCCTGGGGCCCTCGTAAGGGCCTCTTGGGCAGTTTTTGGGGCGATCTGCGGGGCCTCTTCGGCCGTCTTGAATCGTCGGAAGCTCGAGAAACGACCCCGAGGAGCGGTGAAAAACCGAACGACAACCACTGACTTTTTACCTCTCGGGGCCCTCGGTCGAGAAGGACGTCATCGATGTTGTATCGTGGAGGACGAGTGCCGGGTCCTCTTAGCCTGGGCCCCCATCCGACTCATTCTCACAATCCATGCACTCGTGACAATTGTTCAGATCTCTTCAGTTTTTGCGTTGAAGATGAGCTGGAAACCAGGCAAGTCTGAGTGCGCTGAGCAGAAGTTCCTGACCGTGCGGTCGTCATGCTGAAACAGGGGCCATTTTGGGCTCAGGAGGGGCACTGGTTTTCGGGTTGCTCTTTGAGTCTATGTCGGGGAACCTGTTCGTGTCCGAGGCAAGCCGAGGCTAGCCGTGGCCAGATAAGCCCTTCTGCTTCTCATTCAGCGCTTCCTCTGGCAGCACGGTTGCTGTTTGCCTCCGGACTCGGACATCATGTCGCGCATGCCTCACAGGGTCGACTCGACATTGCTCTCGGCCAGCCCGATCTGACCCGATTCCGATACTCCGCCGATCCGACGCGCCCCGATGCTTGCATGGCGCCGTTGTGCACCCTGTCGCGGCCGATCCGATTCGGTTCTGTCTCTGTGGCGGTGCGGCCCGATTCCCACAAGCTTCGGCGAGTTTTTTCACGGCGTCGACCCCCAGAGGTCTAGGCTAGTTCTCCAGGACCGTTTTTTTCAGCCCGTGCAGTTGTATGACGGCCCTGGGGCCTGGTGAGGGCCCCCAGTGGCCGAAGACAGGCAAGTACTGACCGTCGTTTTTTGTTTGTTGTTTCTTTCCCACCCGGCGCGAGGACGTCGTAAAGCGTCCGTCGTGATTTTTTTTGTAATGAAGCGCGAGGAGGTCAGGGGCTCGATGCCTGTTCCGATGCGACCCGGATAGGTTCGATGTCGACCGCTCCTGGCCTCCCTCGTCGGCAGCCTCCTCCTTCTCCTCCTCCTCCTCCTCTTCCTCCTCCTCCTCCTTCTCCTCCCTCCACCTCCTCCTCCTCGTCTTCTCCTCCTCCTCCTCCTCCCTCCTCCCCCTCCTCCCCCTCCTCCTCCTGCGCCTCCTCCTCCTTTTCCTCCTCCTCCTCCTCCTCCTCCTCTTGCCTTTCGAGACTCGAGGATCGACGTTCGAGGCTTTTTGGCCTTCGGATGCCCTCCTCGTCGCCGCCACTGGGCGCCGCTCGAAAAGTTGGTGCGTCTGAGCCCTGGCAGTGATGCGACCCGAATCTGTTCGATGTTGGCCTGAGAGCGTTCCAGGGGTGCTCGGATCGTCACGAACGGCCGCTGGAGGCCCGAGTTATGGCCGGAAAACCACCAGGGTACCCTTAGGGGGAATGGGTTCATGGGGGGATGCATGGACCCTCGATCTTCCACTCGACGCCGACGGGGGCCCGACAGTCCATCCCGCCCAGGAGCGTGCGGTATCGTATCGGGGGCCTATCGCCGATCTACAGGCGATGCATCGCCGAATTCGGGCCCGATGCCTCCCCCTCTGAGCTGATCCCTCCCTACCGTTCCCCCTCATCCTGGCCTTGAGTCGGGCATGTCCCTCTACAGGAGGAATATTCAAAATAGTGAAAGATACTCAGGGACAGATTTTTCAATCATTTTTTGACTACTGACTACTTTTGAGCATCTTTTTGGTTATTTTTCCATTTTTCGTCCAAAATCCTCCTGTAGGAGGACATGCCCGACCTATGCCCCCCTCCCCCCCTATCTCACGGCGTGTTTTTGGATTCTGCGCACGGGCTCGTGGACTCGTTACCTCGCCAGCAACCATCCGGTCCTCCCTCTCACGCTGTGGCGCAGCCTCGCTATGACGGTATGCAGTGCTTGAGGCTGAGGCCATGATTTGATTTGCGTGGATGATGCGGAAAAACAGATTCATCCCCAGATCCCCGACGTTATGAATTTTTCATGGCGTCGACACCCGGAAGTCTCGACCCATTCCCTGGGACAGGTGTTCATCCCGAGTCGTTTTTTGACGGTCCCGAGCCCCGGCGAGGGCCCCCAGAGGCTGAAAGTTTCGAGACCTCCCGTCTTTTTTTCACATTTCGAGGGGTTTCGGGAAACATCATCATCCTGGTCTCCCCCCACGTGATCGTTTTATTATTCACTGTTTTGCCGATCGGCGCGGGCCTCGCCCCCACCCCCCATGGAGTAGATCTTGGCTGTTTTTGGTGCCTGATTCAAGCAGGTGGAGTAAGCACGGGGGCCCCGCCTCCTCACAGGATTCCTCATGGGAGCACTGCTCCAAACAGTCGCACTGAGCAGAGGTCTGGAACCCTCCCCCCCCCACTCGGGCGGGACGAGAGGAGGTTCGGAAAAAGTGTGAGGAGGAGGAGGAGGAGGAGGAGGAGGAGGAGGAGGACGAGGAGGAGGAGGAGGAGGAGGAGGATGATGAGGAGGAGGAGGAGGAATATACCCGTGGAAGCAGTCCCCCCTGCGCGGTGCGTGTCCCCGCCCCCTCTGGCGGCGCCCTTTCGCCGCCAGGAGCTCTACAGGCTCAGCCTCGAGCAGAACGAGGCCGCCCGGCGGGCGCCGTGGCCCTCGCCGTGGGCCCCCCGCCCGGAGGGCATCGGGGGCGGTGCAGCCCAGACCTCAGACGATGCTCGGGGGCCTCGAGACCCATCGGAGAAGAGCAAAATCATAGACACAAACTTTTGGCGCTCCGCGCTGATTTCTCGGATCCGCGCTGGGCCCCCCCTGGCGGCGCCTCTGGGGCCGCCCCTGGCGCGCTCCGCGCGCCAGAGGGGGGGTCCAGCGCAGATCCAAGAAATCCTCGCGGGGCGCCAAAAGTTTATGCTTATAGTGCTTTTTCTTCCCCATATCCTAAGATGGGGTTCTTGTTATTACCTGGACGCCTCCTACTCCTCCTGCCTCTTATTCTCCTTCTCCTCCTCCTCCTCCTCCTCCTCCTCCTCCTCCTCCTCCTCATACCTAGACTTGCCCATACACAGACTTACTCATACACAGATATACTCATACTCAGACCTGATCATATTAACTTACTCAGACTCAGACCTACTCATACTCATACCTCCTCATACTCAGACTTACTCATGTTGAGACTCACTCATACCCAGACTTACTCATACTCAGATCTTCTCATTGTCTGACTTACTCAACACACAACATATTGTGAGGATGTCTCAGGCGGGGCGCTGGTTTCAGCACCCCTAAGGGGAGCCGCCAAGGGGTATGACACGGTCCCGTTCGCGGCCGTTTCGTGGGGATGTCTCTAGCGGTTTGCTTGTTTTTGTCCCAACATCCTTCGCTTGGAGAGCAGATTGTGATGATGTCTCAGGCGGGGCGCTGGTTTCAGCACCCCTAAGCGGAGCCGCCGAGGGATATGACACGGTCCCGTTCGCGGCCGTTTTGTGGGGATGTCTCTAGCGGTTTGCCTGTTTTCTGTCCCAACATCCTTCGCTTGGAGAGCAGATTGTGAGGATGTCTCAGGCGGGGCGCTGGTTTCAGCACCCCTAAGGGAAGCCGCCAAGGATGCTTTCACGGCTCCGTTCGTCGCCGTTCTGTGGGGATGTCTCTAGCGGTTTGCTTGTTTTTTGCTTTTGCGTTGTGTCCCGAGTGGCTCTCTCCGTTGCGTACGGTGGTCAAGGAGGAGTGACCAGGCGTTGCTGGCGCAGAGCTTGTGCCACCGTGGGATGTTGCTTTCTCTTTCCGTGGTGCTTTCCAATCTTATCGTCGTCAGCGGGAGAGGGAACTTGAGAAGGTTCATTCTCCCGAGTGCGTTTTGGGCTGGGGAGGGAACTTGAAAAGGTTCACTCTCTAGCTGCGGGAGAGGGACGCACATTCAAATATCCCACATACAATATTACCGTTTCAACAGGATGCACATCTGGGGAGCTCCACGCAGTGAGCAATTCTTCTAGCCCAGACCTCCGACGTCACGATTTTCCACCACGCTCGTTGATCGTTTTCTTCATTGTTTTGCCGATCGGCGCGGGCCCTCCCCGGGCGGTTCCCCCGGTCCCCGCCCCGCGGTTCCCCCAGTTGCGTTCCCTTACCTTAGCTTTGCGTATCTCATCTTAGCTTAGCTTAGCTTAGCTTCATATTAGCTTCGCGTAGCTGTAGCTTAGCTTAGCTTAGCTTAGCTTAGCATATCATAGCATAGCCCAGCATAGCATAGCATAGCGCAGCATAGCATAGCATGGCATGGCATAACATAGCATAGCGCAGCATAGCACAGCATAGCATAGCATAGCGCAGCATAGCATAGCATACCATAGCCTAGCATAACATAGCGCAGCCTAGCGTAGCATAGCATAGCGCATCATAGCGCAGCATAGCATAGCATAGCAGAGCATAGTGCAGCATATCATAGCGTAGCATAACATAGCAGCAAAGCAAAGGCAAAGCAACAGCAGCAACAGCAAAGCAAAACACAAGCAACGCAAAGCAAAGCAAAGCAAACGCAAAAACAAAGCAAAGGAAAGGCAAAGCGAAAGCAATGTGCGACAGATGCCGAGCTAGCCTCGATGGCCGGACCGGAGCCCCCGCAATCAGTGCCTTCCGTAGCCTAGCGTCCAACGACATGCACTAGCGTAGCTGAGGTCCCTACCAAGCGTCCAACGACATGCACTAGTGGCCGAGGTCCCTACCAAGCGTCCCACGACGAGCACGTAGAGGCCGAGGTCACTACAAAGCGTCCCACGACCAGCACTAGAGGCCGAGGTCACTACAAGATGTCCCACGACTTGCACGTAGTGGCCGAGGTCCCTACCAAGCGTCCAACGACATGCACTAGTGGCCGAGGTCCCTACCAAGCGTCCCACGACGTGCACGTAGAGGCCAAGGTCACTACAAAAGCAAATGCAAAGCCAAGCAAAAGCAAAGCAAAAGCAAAAGGCTTAGCTTAGCTTAGCCTAACTTAGCTTAACTAAGCTACAGCAACAACAACAGCAAAGCAAAGCACTAGCAACGCAAAGCAAAGCAAAGCAAAAGCAAAAGCAAAGCAACGGAAAGGCAAAGCAACAACAATGTACAACAGTACGATCAGAGATCCCACCCGGTGAGCGAATGCAGAAACATGCGTGTGTGTGTGCGAAGACAAAGCAGAAGCAACACCAAAACCAAGCAACAGCAAAAACAAGCAAACACAGAGGCAACTACGACGATGAGGAGAAGGAGGAGGACGGCGTTTACCGTTACTACTAATGCTGCTTTCCCAGGGGCTCCAACTCCTAGGTAGGGTCGCACTGGGGTAATTTTCTTCATTGTTTTGCCGATCGGCGCGGGCCATCGCACCCCCCCTCCCCTCCGATGGAGCAGATCTTAGCTGTTTTGGGCGCCCGTTTCAAGCAGGTGGACGGCTCCCCATAGGATTCCCCATGGGAGCACTGTGCATTAAGCAGAGGTCGGGAGCCAGACCCCCCTTTCCCCCCCCACCCTTCCGCTCAGTGTCGAAACGCCGAATCAGAAAACGTTCACTTGGCATCGCTCGGACGTGTGCGTTTTTTCTCGGCGAGGGCCATCTAGTAGGAGCATCTTGGATCCTCTTGCGACCAAACAGCGCGCACGAGGCCGAAGCGTGCGCGGGGAGTGGACGTCCGAGCGACGGCGAGCACGCCGACCCGCAGAGGTCTCGGCCCATCCCCCGGGACTGGCTTCTCATCCCGAGTCGTTTTCGACGGTCCCGGGGCTGGGCAGGGGCGCCCCCGGGGCCGAACAAGGCGAAGCACCTCCCGCCGCGATTTTTTCACGGCGCGGTGGGGTCTGGGAAGGGGGGGTTCGGTAGCAAGCCATGGGGGCCTGGTATACTCTCTCGGTTCTGTTTTCAGCGTCGATTGGCGCCTGGGAGTCGATGAGGCAGCGCCGATTTGGCGTCCGCTAGCGTCGAGGAGCGTCGATTTGGCGTCGATGAGCGTCCATTTGGCGTCGGTCAGCGTCGATTTCGCGTCGACTAGCGGCGAGTCGCAAGAGCCGGCAAGATGGTATGGGAGGCTCCCATGAGTTGCCTCGACCCTTGCGTTCTTTCCGACTCCGGCTCGGACACTCGATCTCGTTCTTCTGACCCTGGCTGCTCAAAGTCCCGACTCCAGAGTCTGAGAGGCCAAAATCGCCGCCCCGGCGCCAACCCGCTGCACCCGCGTAGGTGCCTTCTGCGGGACTGTCTGCCTGTTTGTCTGGGGAGGGGAGGGGGTTCGGAGGCGTCGAATATGTGGGTTTTTGGCTGGAGAAGGGGAGCGCAGGACCGGCGCAAGGCGACCGAGGAAGAGATATAGGCAAGGCTCTGCGCCTCATTTTGTGAGGGGCCGTGGCAGTGTAGTAGCGTGTTAGTGCTTGGTATCAACTCATGGGAGCCTGGTTTCCGTCTTTAGCGTCGATTAGCGTCGATTAGTGTCTGGGAATCGACGAGATAGCGCCGATTTAGCGTCGATTAGCGTTGATTTAGCGTCTGTGAGCGTCGACTACTACAGCGTTGATTAGCGTCGATTCGCAAGAGCCGAAAATATGGTACGGGAGGCTCCCATGAGTTGCCACCGACGTGCTGTTTCTGTCTGCGCTGATACCTGCTCGCTGCAGCAGTCGACGCGAAGCGCAGCGAAGCGAAGAGGGCGGAGCAGTGAGACTTCGCCCATCGCCCTGCGATGCCGACGTCGAGAACACTTGAGCCCGCGCGTGTGCATGTTTGTGCGTCAGGGTGCTGTTGCTATGTGCGCTGTCACTCGCCGTCGAAGCGAGGCGAAGAGAGCGGAGCAGTGAGCCTTCGATGATCATGATGATACTGATGATGATAATGATGATGCTGATGCTGATGCTGATGCCGATGCTGGTGCCAATGCTGATGCTGCTGATGATGATGCTGATGATAATGATGCTGATGCTGATGCTGATGCTGATGCTGATGCTGATGCTGATGATGATGCTGCTGATGATGCTGATGATGATGAAGATCATGATGTCCGCGGCAGCCCCCTGTGCCGCCCCTGCGCGGCTCGCGGGCGCGGGTGCTTCAGGCGATCGACGGGAGAGTGCCGCGGCGGCCTCCCGGGGACCCCTTGGCGGGGCTCGTTTCGATGCCTCCGGTTCGATTCGATTCGACTTCGATGGCCTCCGATTCGTCTTCGATTCGACTTCGATTTCGACTCGATTCGATTCCGATTCGAGATTCCGATTTGGGCTCCGATCTCTCGCTGGAGGCCTACCAGCCTGGCGATGTCTGCCGATTCGACTTTTCCCGACTCGGCTGCCGATATCCGTCGATCCGATTCATGTCGATCGCCGATCCGACTTAAAGATTCGATTCTGGGCTCTCCTGCCCTTGGCAGCGAAGATCGCTCGTTCCAGCTTAGCGGCCCCAGACCCCCTCGGGTCGTGACAAAAATCACGTGTGGAGGTTCTTTTGATCTTTTTTGGCCTTTTTTGGCCCTCGCCAGGGCCCTGGGACCGTCGGAGAACGTCTCAGGATGAAAACCTGGTCCTTAGGAATGGGTCGAGACCTCCAGGGATCCACGTTATGAAAAAGACATGGCGCCGGGGGTCTTGGGTGACAGACACAGTCACGCGTTGGCACGCACGGGACGCGCTGCGCGCCAAGCGGCGGGGGCCTATGATATCTCCCCAGATCTGGTGGCCCTCTTCTTCTTTCAACTTGTCCCTTGGTCGACTGACGTAAGAGTGACCCTTCGCCGGAGTGACCTTGGGTGTGGGCTCACCAGGGTCCCCCCCCATCGCTGAGCGCGCTGCAGTTATGGTTTCTTGCGCGCTTGGATTTTGCCACCTTGCGCCCCTTTAATCCGCGCGCTAAGGACCACTCATGCCTAGGGTCACTCTTGCGAGTAGCCGACTTGGCCCCGCCTCGTCCGCGCACGTGCGTAATTAGGGCCATGATGTGCGATCCCCCCTCTTGAACGCCCCTCCCTTGGCCGCCTGTGAGAGGGAGGGGGGGGACACTTGGTTCCGTGGGCTTTCTCTTCGCCTCGGGATGCCCTCTGGCAGGTGCGCTCTGGCGAGGGCTTCTCTGGGGCTACCCGAATCGTCCCGAACAGCACCCGGAGACCCGAGTTTTGACCAGAACGCCACCAGGCGCCGAAGAGGGGCAAGAGGGCTTGGGGTGTTTGTGTGCGTAGATATCAGCAACCATCCCCTGCCGTCCTGCTCCCCACGCCCACCTGAACCCCGGGCTGGTTCGGGGCTCCGCTGCTTCCGTGCAGACCTGAGCAGTGGACATTGGACGGGGGGCCATGCAAAGGGGCACTTACCTCCACACACGACCTCCAGGCGGGCACTCGCCTGATGGTCCTCACGGAGAGCAGCTGCAAGGAGGTTGCTCTGGGCAGGGACGGGAACGCGACACGGTGTCCCACATTCTCCGCCGGATGCGAGCGCCGTCGCGCCGACCTGCAGGCACAGACGCACCTCCCGCCACGAGGGGGTGCCATCGTCGATGACAAACCCCCTCAGACGCCGACGCCGCGACGCGTGGCCCTGTGGGGTCCACTCCGAGTGCGGAGCACGCTCCCTCGGTCACGCCTCGAAAGCTGCTGGCGCCGGCGCCACTCTTTGGGAGAGCACCCGCCCGATGGGCGCCCCCCCCCCCTCGTGGCTTCCCGCGTCCCTGCCATTGGCCCGGGGGCCGACAGCGCGCAGGCCCGCCGAGGCGTCTCTGGCTGCCGCCAGGAGGCTGGCCTCCTGGCTGCCCTGCGAGAGGTCGTGGCCGGGCCGCGAGGATCGGGGGAGCGTCAGACCCGGGTTTGCCAGGACTCGGGTTCGCCATCGTTTTTTGGCGACCGCGCCTCGGATTTTGACGAGGAGGAGTTTCGTGGGATGTCTGCAGCGGGAGGCCTCGTCAAAATGCAGGCTCGGCCTCGTCATTTTTTTGACGACCTCGTCGGGGATTTCCGAGTCCCTTGTACCCGGGTCTTACGCCCCCCCGAGAGGCGGAGAGGCGGCGACGGCCTCTCTCCGCGGTCAGACACGCGGCGGGGGCGGGTCGACTCCCAGACAGGCTCGCGTCGTGAACAAAAAAACAGGACGGGAGTTTTTTTTTTTTGTTTTTTTTTTTTTTTTTTTTTTTTTTTTTTTTTTTTTTTTTTTTTTTTTTTTTTTTTTTTTTTTTGTTTTTTTTTGTTTTTTTGTTTTTCCGTTTTCGGCCTCGGGGCCTTCGTCGGGCCTCGGGGGGTCCCGCCGGGGAAACGTCGGGGCTTCCGGGGACCGCGTGTGGAGCAAGTCAGGGCGTCGCAGGTCGGAGTCCTCGGGAGAGGAAAAAGCACACAGACGCAAATCGTCGTCGATTCCAAAGGAAATATACGGAGCATGGGGGACGTGGACGGGGAGGACGACGACCAAACCCAGAAGACATGGGGAGCATGGGGAATCCTGGGGTTCGTGTCCATGCATGTGTGTGCTCCTGGGGCCCTTACGATTCAAGCGCGCAGTCCTCCAGGTCCAGATTCTATAGGCTTCCCAGCTGGGGTCGGAACAGATGGGGTCGGAGGAGCACGCCGCATTGTCGATGCATCGGCGATGAGGCTGGATGTGGAGCCTGATTGTCTCCACGCCGACATCGCCGATGCATCGGCGATGCGGCGCGAGCTCCATCTGCTCCGACCCCATCTGGGAGGGACCTCTTGTGTCAGACGGAGCACGGCCCTGCTCTCCTGTGGCGAGCAGGGGCCGCAGGATGGTGCCGCATATCGCCGATGCATCGTCGATGCGACGCCATCTGAGCGACGCAGGAAAACGGGGTCGTCTGCGCCGACATTGGCGCGTAAGATGCCCGCGTCAGGTCGCGCGTAAGCGCCCTCGCTTCCAGTGTGGCGTGCCGCGCTGGCGGCCCGCACAAGCCACCGCGCAAGGTCGCTACGTCATCGCGCGTAAGACCTGTTTTTGATCGTCGCTCATCTGGAACTCGATTTTCTCCTTCGGACGTGACCGACCGTTGCGTCGGCGATGCGGCGCGATCCTCTGACCTCATCTACTCCGGCCCCATTTATCGACGCGAGCGAGATGGGCAAGTGAGAAGGAGAAGGCCTTCGCAGAAGGCGGCGGGGCTTCTCAGAAGCCCTCGCGCCATCTGAGAAGTTCTGTTGTGTCTTCTGGGGAAGGCTTCGAAAACTTGTCAGAAGGTCCGGGGGAGTTCGAGCCTTCTGAGAAGGCCTTCTCCTTCTCAGTTCTCCCCCCCGCTCGCCGCCGAGCGAAGCCGCAGCAGCGGTGAAGAGGGGGCGATGGCCGCTCGCCGCACCAAGAGGCCCTGGCCCAGCAGAACCAGCTGCTCAAGGTGCAGATGGAGAGGATGCAGCAGGGCCTCGCGGCGACCCAGCAGCAGGCGCCCACCCGACAGCAATGGGAACGGGCATCTCTGCCGGTGTCTTGGCATCGCTCGCACGTGTGCACTGTTCGACGGGGACCATCGACAAGCATCTTGGGTCATCTTGCGTACAGTGTGGACCCATGCCAAGAAAAACCCTGCTTGCCTTGATGGTGCCCTGGGTTTCTTGGATTTCGATGGTTTTGCTACGGAAAGCGTGACGTTCCCTCACCAAAAACCCATCGATGTCCTGGGATCTCAGGGTTGGTTTTCTTGTGGAAGGTTTCTTGTGGACTGGCCTCCAATGTAAATGTGTGAAGCCGAAACATGCACGGGGAATGGACGTCCGAGTGATGGTGAGTCTCTGCCGGCTTGGGAAGTAGGAGGGAAGACATGGCTGGGGCAGATAGGGCGAGGCTCGGAGCAGATCCAAAGAGGGAGAGAGCAGGCATGCCATACATACATTTATATGTTTATGCCTATGTGTATACATGTGTATATAATAATACGTTTACATATATATATATATATATATACACATGTGCATATACATATGCATGTACACATGCATATCCACAGGCATCTACCATTAACTATGCATACGCATGCACACATCCGTAAACAGTTACATTTACACACGTAAACATAACATGAACACATAATCATACCTATTCAGATACACATACACATACATGTGCACATACATCTACATCTACATACACATATGCAACTGACAATGCAAATCCATATGCACATACACATGCACTTACATAGACAGATACATGTGCACTTGCATGCACATGTACATACATGTACATGTGCACGCACACATACACGTACACACACATGTACATATACATGTATATATGCACATCTACATGTACATACACATGCACATACTTATACATATATATATATATACATATTCATAGACATATCCATACACATGTGTGTGCACATTTATATACATATACACATACACAGGCATATACATATGCATGTACACAAACATATACACAAACACCTACACACACGTATATACATACACACATGTACTCGCATATACACATATCGTGCACATCTACATATGCACATACACATGCGCACACATACACATGCACATACATTTATATGCTCGCCCCCCCTGTCATCATACCTTTCGCCTCCTCTCGTACCCACTTCCTCTTCATTCGCCTCCTCATCCTTCTCCCCGTCCTGCTCGTTCTCATCCTCCTCCTCCTCCTCCTCCCCATTCTCCACATTATTCCTCATTCTATTTTTCCTCATTTGCCTCATCCTCCTCACTCCCATCAATATTCATCGTCCTCTTTTTCTTCATTCTCTTCATTCGCCTCCTCATTCTCCGTCGCCTCCCCATTCTCTTGGTTCCTCTCATTATCCTCCCCGTCCTCCTCCCCTCCTGCATTATCATTGTTCTTCTTTTCATATATGTGTCCTCGCTGCTTCTCTCTCTCTCTCTCTCTCTCTCACACATTCGGAATCTTGTGGAAAGCACCACAAAGGGATTCCATCTGAAAGCCTCACAATAGGAACCCGTTAAACAACACGAAGAAGTTCCAGTGGAAATCCCCTCACCAGGATTCTTTTCGAGAGCACCGCGGAGGGATTCTATTGGAAAGCCTCACAAGCGGAACCCTTTGGAAAGCACCACGGAGGGATTCTAGTGGAAAGCCTCTCAACAGGAATCCTTTGGAAAGCACCATAAAGGGATTCTATGGAGAAGCCTCACAACAGGACTCCTTTGGAAAACTCCACAAAGGGACTCTATGGGAAAACCTCTCAATCGGAATCTTTTGGAAAGCGCCACGGGGGGATGCTATGGTAAAGCCTCTCAACAGGATTCATTTGGAAAGCACCCCAAAGGGATTCTATTGGAAAGCCTCACAACAAGGACCTTTTGGAAAGCATCACAGAGGGAGTCGATTGGAACGCCTCACAACAGGAACCCATCGGAAAATGCGACACATAGCTCCTATTGGGAAAGCGTTACAAAGGAAATCCTTTGGAAAGCTCCACAATGGGCTTTCATTTGGGAGCCTCACAACCCGAAACGCTTTGGAAAGCGCAACAAAGGGATTCCATTTGAACGCCTCACAACAGGAACCCTTTCGACAAACACCACAAAGGAGTTCCATTGGACAGCCTTTCAACAGGTTTCCTTTGGAAAGCGCCACAGAGAGATTCTATGGGAAAGCCTCAGAATCGGAATCCTTTGGAAAGCACCACAGAGGGATTCTAGTCGAACGCCTCACAATCGGAATCCTTTTGGAAAGCACCACAGAGGGATTCTTTTGGAACGCCGCACAACAGGATCACTGTGGAAAACACCACAATGGGCTTCCATTGAAAAGCCTCACAACAGGAGTCCGTTTGAAAGCACCACAGAAATATTCGATCGTAAAGCCTCTCAACAGGATTCCTTTGAAACGCGCCCCAAAGAGATTCGATTGGAAAGCCTCACAGTCGGAATCCTTTGGAAAGCACCACAGAAGGATTCTATGGGAAAGCCTCACAACAGGATTCCTTTGGACAGCACCACAAAGGAATTCCATTGGAACGCCTCACAACCGGAATCTTTTGGAAAGCACCACAGAGGGATTCTATTGTAGAGCCTCTCAACAGGATTCGTTTGGAAAGCGCTACAGAGGGATTCTGGTGGAAAGCCTCACATTCGGAATCCATCAGAAAGTACCACAGAAGGATTCGATGGAAAAGCCTCACAATCGGAATCCTTTGGGGAACACCCCAAAAGGGATGCGATTGGAAGGCCTCACAACAGAAACGCTGTGGAAAGCGCCACGCATGGATTCTAGTGGAAAGCCTCACAGCAGGAATCCTTTACGGGAATCTAATGGGAATTGTCACAGCAGGAGTCCTCTCTCTCTCTCTCTCTCTCTTTTTTTTTCTTTTTCCAAAACCATGTGTTTTCCATTGATTCCAGATATTCCAGATATTCCCAGATACAACCCAGGTGAAAAAACTGGGTGTTTTCCAGAGATTCCAAATATTCTAGAGATTCCCAGAGACTACCCAGGTGAAAAACCTTATGTTTTCCAGAGATTCCAGAGATTCCAGAGATTCCCAGAGACTACCCAGGTGAAAAACTTCTATGTTTTCTTGAGATTTCAAAGATTCCAGCGATTCCCAGAGATTGCCCAGGTGAAAAACCTTGTTTTTTTTTCCAGGGATTCCAGAGATTCTAGAGATTCCCAGAGACTACTCTGAGCTTGCAGCGCGCTCTCTGGGAATCTCTGGAGTTTCTGGAATCTCTGGAGAACACAAGGTTTTTCACCTGGGTAGTCTCTGGGAATCTTTGGAATCTTTGGAGTCTCTGGAAAACACAAGGTTTGTCACCTGTGTAGTCTCTGGGAATCTCTGGAATCTTTGGATTTTTTTTGAAAAACGCATTGTTTTGCACTTGGGTAGTCTTTGGGAATCTCTGGAATCCTTGGAATCTCTGGAAACACAAATTTTTCACTTGGGTAGTCTTTGGGATTCGCTGGAATCCCTGGAATCTCTGGAAAGCACATGGTTTTGGAAAGGGAAAGAGAGACAGAGAGAGAGAGAGAGAGAGAGAGGGTGAGAGAGAGAGGGAGGAAGAGAGAGAGCGAGAGAGAATGGAAAATAAGCAGTCGAGGATGAGGAGGGGCAAAGGTATGATGACAGGGGGGGGGGCGACCGTTGTATATATATATATATATACATGTACACATGCATTCATATCTACATGTACATGTGCACGCACGTATACACACATATGCAGCCATACATCTGTACATTTACATGTAATATACATTTACATATACATTTACGTATACAGTTACATATACAGTTTCATGTACACATACACATACGTAGACATACATGTATGTTTGGATTCATGTGCGTGCACACATATATACATACACACATACTTGTATATATACATGCATACGTACATACACATAAACATATACACACATCTACATGTACATATACATATACACATACATCAACACATACGTACACACATCCATGTTCATGCACATGTACATACACACAAACATATACATGTACACATACAGACATATGTACACACATATACACATTTCATAGTCATAATCATATGCATGTACACATACATATACGTGTACATGTACGTATACATATGCACACAAACATACACGCAACTATTTACACATATTCTTATACGTATGCTTACGTACATTTACATCCACATTTACATATCCCTATACGTATACACATACACATACATATACACACGCACATGCACATCTACATACTATATATACATATATATCGATCTTCACTTGTATATATGATATACATATAATCATACATACACATGTGCAGTTACATATGCATATACATGTATACATTAATGTATATGTATATGTATGTATGTATGTATGTACATATGTTGTATGTATCTATAGATCTTAGTTGCTGTCAGAGCTGTCGCGCGTGCGCACGCAGCGCGCTCGTCCCATCTCCCCTGTCCTCCTCCTCCTGCTTCTCCTCCTCCTGCTTCTCCTCCTCCTCCTCCTGCCCCTCCGCCTCCTCATCCTCCTCCGCCTCAACCTCCCCCTGCGTTGAGTGGACATGAAGTGCTATGCTTGCTGCGTCCCTCAGCAACTCGAACTCTTATGTGAGAGGGACGAATGCGTGAAGTGCGGCAGTATCCGCCTCCGCCTCTTTCTTCTGCTCTCCCTTCCTATCTGCATTCCAGTGCTGCACGCCCCCCGCAGAGATTCGCATCACACGGGACCGTTTCGCTGTCACCTGAGTCTCGAGTCCTCCCTTCCTTTGCGCGACTCTGGGCCCGAAACTCGGCCACGCTCGCGGGACAACCCTGCTGCCTGGCGGGCTTCCCTGACATCCGCTGGTCCGATTTTTCAGTGCGCGGCCCTGGAGGTTCCGGCCGCTTCTTCCAGGGGTGGTGTTTCGTCCTGGATCCTGCTCCGGGGCACGATATAGGGCCCCCCGAGGGCCGAAATCGAGAAACACGCGCCGCTGGAAAAGATCAGATTGTCGGAGATCTGGGCTGCTGGGTGGTGCGCGCGGCCATGCCCTGCTCCGTGCAGCTGGCCTTGTCTGTCTCTCGAGCGAACGACGGGCTGCGTGTCCAGCTGGGAGACTCCTCCTCCTCCTCCTCCTCCTCCTCCTCCTCCTCCTCCTCCTCCTCCTCCTCCTTGCCGAGCCCTGAGATCAGTTGTTTGCTTTCTGCTTTTTGCCGGTTGCAGGCCGTTGGCTGACGTAGCACGCGGCCACGCCCTACTCCGTGCATCTAGCCTTTCCCGCCTCTGGAGCGAACGGCGGACTGCGTGTCCGGCTGGGAGATTTTTGTGTGGATGGCGTCGCCTGAGATCCAGCGCTGCGCCCAAACGTGGCAACATCGCGAGAGAGTGCGCCTGGAGCGCGGACCTCCGAGTTTTTATGTTTGTGCCATTGTCTGTTTCCCCACTTCTGCCCCTCCTGCCGAGCAGCCTTTTCTGGCTCAAGCCGTGTCCAAGGAGGGGGATTCTGGAGGCCTCGCGCCGCGCGCGATCGTTGTTTTGTCTGCTCCTCGCGTCCGCCCCACATGGGACGACGTTCGCGCGGCGATTTTCCGACGCAGCTTTAAGTCGGGCATGTCCCTCTACAGGAGGACAATTCAAAAATAGTGAAGAAATAATATTGGGACGATTTTTTTTAGATATTCTAGAATATTTTCTGACAATTGTCTATTTTTCCTCCAAGATCCGCCTGTAGGAGGACATGCCCGACCTAAACGTAGCTCCGACGCAAATCCGACGTGATTCCGACGTAAATCTGACGTGAATCCAATGTGGATCCGACGCAATTTGGGTCTCGGGCTGCCGCGCGAGGCCTCCAGGGATTTCCTCATACGGCGGGGGCGTTCGTTAAGGAATGTGTCCGGGAGGCTTCAGACCCTGGAAGATTCCTTATCTGATGAGGGCGGCTGTGATATCCATGGCCAATCCACGATTGGAGCTCCACCTGTTTCCAGACCCTGGATTCCTTGTCCAGTGTCCAGTGGTCGGCATCACGCAACGCCCGGGAAACATTGCATTACAAGATATTTGTAGCAGGTGTTCTTCTCGGCTGCGCGCCTCTGACATCAGCACGTGATCGTTTTTGTATTAATTGTTTTGCCGATCGGCGCGGGCCCTCGCACCCCTCCCTCCCCCCTTCCATGGAGTAGATCCTAACTGTCTTGGCGCCTGTTTCAAGCTGGTGGAGTCTCCCCCATAAGACGCACTGCTGCAAGCAGTCGCACTGAGCAGAGCTCCAGAGCCAGACCCCCCCCCTCCCTCCACCCCCCAAAGACAAAACGCCGAATAAGAAAACGTTCACCACATAGTTCGGGGGTGGACAGACCCCCACTCTGACACGTCGATTAATGAATTGTTTGTTTTCGGTTCTCGAGAGGGCGCCATGGCCGTCATTTTCCAGGCTTGCGCCCGCCAGGTTTGGGCTCGAGTTTGTCTTCACTAAACCACGTTTTGCTAAAGGGGGTCCTGTCCATCCCTGAATAGTACTGCCATGTCCTCCTGCGCTCCACATGGCTCCTTAGCCTCGGCCAGGAGGGCGTGTGCACGTTGCCAGGGCTCGTGGTTGGCCCTGGCCGGCCACGGTGTTGGTGTATAGGGGTGTAGATGCCTTCTGCGTATGTAGTATCAAGTCGGGCGCGTCCCTCTACAGGAGGAGTGTTCAAACATAGTCAAAACATAGTCTGGGGGACATGCCCGACCCAAATGTAGTATCGGTTCTTCTCGGTCGCGCGCCTCTGACGTCGCCGCATAGCACTACTCCAGATTTCGTAATAAAAGGGAGGGGGTCTGGACCCTCCAAGACAAGCCATTTCAGACCTCCCCCGTGGGAGAACCCTCCAAAACATCGTCCCCAGACCCCCCAGGCCCTCCAAGATAGCCTGGAAGAGACCCCCCCCCGAAATGAGACCCCCCTCCTTTTATCACGAAATCTGGAGTAGCATGTCCTCCTGCTCCCCACAGCTCTTCTCCGACGAGGGCGTCCGTGCACCACCACCGTGCCAGGCCAGGGTCATCCCGGGCCCCAGGACGGTGCGTGGACCCTCCTGGCCTCGGCCGGCGTGCCAGGGCGAGGATTGCCCCTGGCCAGCCACGGCGGTGGTATATATATATATGTATATATATGTATATATATATATATATATAGATGCCTTTCTGCGTGTGCAGTAATGCCCTTCTCGGTCGCGCGCCTCCGACATCAGCCCAGACGTGCGACGTCCTGATTTTTTATCAAAACGCGGTCCCCGGAAGTCCCGACCCTTTCCCTTGGCATCGCTCGGACGTGTGCTTTGTTTCTCTCGGCGAGGACAATCGAGTAGCATCCTGGACCATCGAGCAAAAACCCACGCACAAAACCGACAAATGCACGGGGAATGGACGTCCGAGCTATGGCAAGTTCCCCGGGACCGGTTTCTCATCCCGAGTCGTTTTTTGACGGCCCCGGGGGCCCGGCGTGTGCACAGCAGAGGCCGAGAACGGCTAAAAGCCTCCCCGTCGTGTTTTTTTTTTTGGGGGGGGGGGTCTTTCCCCAATCAGCGTTTGCCTCTGTAGGTGTCCTAGCGGATTCACATGGTTGGGTGAGGTTTGGCCTCGATTTTGGCGGCGCGCCTGGGTGCCCAGGTGCCGGGTAGCCATATCTGCCCTATAGCCTTATAGCCTCATAGCCCTATAACCCTACAGCCCTATAGACCTATAGCCCTATAGCCCTATAGCCCTACAGCCCTATAGCCGTAGCCCTATGGCCCTATAGCTCTAATAGCCCTATAGCCTTATAACCTTCTAACCTTATAACCCTATAGCCGTATAGCCCTATAGCCCTATAGCCCTGTAATCCTATAGCCCTGTTGCCCTGCAGCCCTACAGACCTATCACCTTATAGCCGTATAGCCCAAAAAGGTGAGGTTTGGCGCCGATTTCGGCGGCGTGCCCGGGTGCCTAGATGCCTGGGTGCTCGGGTGCCCAGGTGCCCGGGTGCCCGGTAGCCCTATAGCCCCATAGCCCTATTGCCCTAAAACCCTATAGCCTTATAGCCCTGCAGCCTTATATCCCTATAGCCCTGTAGCCCTATAGCCCTAATAGCCCTATGGCCCTATAGCCCTATAGCCCTAGAACCCTAGAACCCTGTAGCCCTATAGCCTTATAACCTTACAGCCTTATAGCCCTATAGCCCTATGGTCCTATAGCCCTATAGCCCTACAGCCCTATAGCCCTATAGCCTCATAGCCTTATAGCCTTATAGACCTACAGCCCTATAGCCCTATAGCCCTATGGCCCTATAACCTTATAGCCCTATAGCGCTACAGCCCAATAGCCCCATAGCCCTACAGCCCTAAGCAGATTCTTATTGGGGTCTTTCTCCGGTATTTTTTTAAACCATGCGACCATGCCTGGGAGCATGTCCTCCGGCGCCCCACATGGCTCCTTAGTCAAAATGCCCTCGCCGCAGCGTGCCGCCCCTCGGATGTGGCGGGCGGCGGGGCGGTCCGGATGCGCCGCGGCCTGAGTCTGCTCGCCTGCTCGCCTGGCCTCTGCCGCGGCGGGGGCGGCGCTGCCGCCGGGGTCCGCTCCCTGCCGGCGAGGCAGGAGGACTTCTTCGACCTCCTGCCCCAGGACCCGGGGCGCAGTTCCCCGCCCAGATCTCCTCCTCCTCCTCCTCCTCGTCCTCCTCCTCCTCCTCCTCCTCCTCCTCCTCCTCCTCCTCTCGGGGGTGGACAGAACCCCCAACAGTGACACGTCGATTAGTGAATTGTCCGTTTTCGGTTCTCGAGAGGGCGCCGTGGCCGTTATTTTCCAGGCTTGCCCCCGCCAGGTTTGGGCCTCAGGTCGTTTTCACTAAACCACGGTTCACTAAAGGGGGGTCTGTCCATCCCCGATCCTCCTCCCTCCTCCTCCTCCTCCTCTCCTCCTCCTCCTCCTCCTCCTCCTCTCTCTTCTCCTCTCCTCCTCCTCCTCACCCCTCCCTCCTCGTCCTCCTCCTCCTCCTCCTCCTCCTCCTCCTCCTCCTCCTCCTCCTCCTCCTCCTCCTCCTCCTCCTCCTCCTCCTGGGCGACGCAGGAATCGGCCACGCGCAGAGGGGGTTAGGGGGGGGGACGGCTTCTTAGAAGCACCCCTGCTTCTTAGAAGGCGAGGGCCTCGTCTGCAGATGTAAAGCCTGCGCCTTCTATAAGAAGCAGCCTCCTTCCAAGCAGCCTTCTCCCCTCCCCCTACCCCCCTCTGCGCGCCGCCAAAGGAGGACTTCTTCGACCTCCTGCCCCAGGACCCACGGCGCAGTTCTCTGTCCAGACCCCCTCGCGTCGGGAAAGAAAATCACGGCGGGAGGTGTTTCGCTATTTTCGGCCTCTGGGAGCCCTGACCGGGCCCTGGGACCGTCAAGAAGTGACTCGGGATGAAGAACCAGCCCCAGGGAAGTGGTCGGGATGTCGGGGGCCCGTGTCTCGAAAAAAGCGAGACGTCGGATGTCTGGGCTGGGATCCGACGTCGCGACAAATTTCAAGCATAGCGAACCAGGCCCCAGAGCTCTTTTGGCCGTTGTCGGACGCCCTGGGGGGGTCTTCGACGCGCCCCCCCCCGGGCCGCCGAGAGAGCGGCTCAGGATAGAGCTCGTCCAGCGGGTAGGGCCCCGATGTCCAGGACCCGTTTAACACGTTCCCTGGGATTCGGCGTCGTGGCAAATCTTAAGCATAGCGAGCCAGGCCCCAGAGCTCTTTTGGCCGTTGTCGGGCTCCCTGGGGGGGGGTCCTCGACGCGCCCCCGGGCCGCCAAGAGAGCGGGTGAGGATCGAGCTCGTCCATCGGGGAAAGATCCGACGTCGTGGCAAATCTGAAGCATAGCGAGCCAGGTCCCAGAGCTCTTTTGGCCGTTGTCGGGCTCCCTGGGGGGGTCCTCGACGCGCCCCCGGGCCGCCGAGAGAGCGGGTGAGGATCGAGCTCGTCCATCGGGGAAAGATCCGACGTCGTGGCAAATCTGAAGCATAGCGAGCCAGGTCCCAGAGCTCTTTTGGCCGTTGTCGGGCTCCCTGGGGGGGGTCCTCGACGCGCCCCCGGGCCGCCAAGAGAGCGGGTGAGGATCGAGCTCGTCCATCGGGGAAGGATCCGACGTCGTGGCAAATCTTAAGCATAGCGAGCCAGGCCCAGAGCTCTTTTGGCCGTTGTCGGGCTCCCTGGGGGGGGTCCTCGACGCGCCCCCGGGCCGCCAAGAGAGCGGGTGAGGATCGAGCTCGTCCATCGGGGAAAGATCCGACGTCGTGGCAAATCTGAAGCATAGCGAGCCAGGCCCCAGAGCTCTTTTGGCCGTTGTCGGGCTCCCTGGGGGGGGTCCTCGACGCGCCCCCGGGCCGCCAAGAGAGCGGGTAAGGATCGAGCTCGTCCATCGGGTGGGGATCCGACGTCGTGGCAAATCTTAAGCATAGCGAGCCAGGTCCTGGAGCTCTTCTGGCCGTTGTCGGACGCCCCGGGGGGGTCCTCGACGCGCCCCCGGGCCGCCAAGAGAGCTGGTAAGGATCGAGCTCGTCCATGGGGTAAGGATCCGACGTCGTGACAAATTTGAGGCATAGAGAGCCAGGTCCTGGAGCCCTTCTGGCCGTTGTCGGACGCCCTGGGGGGGTCCTCGACGCGCCCCCGGGCCGCCCAGAGAGCGGCTCGGGGTAGAGCTCGTCCAAAGGGTAAGGCCCCGCCCGGTGTCCAGGACCCCCGTCCCTTAGGACACTGTCCCTGAGGTCCAACGTCGCGAACACAGTTGCAACATCGGGAAATCACGACCGGAACCTGGGACCATCTTTCTGTGGCATTTCTTCGAGCTGGATCGATCTGTGAGGGGTGCCAAGGTCTGAAGAAGAGCGACCGCGCCCTGGTTGTGAGCAGAATGCGGCGCCCAGATCTCAGCGGGAGAAGGCCCATGGTGTACATGAGTGTCGTCCCTTTCCTCCTTTTTGTTGCCTCCAGTCTCCGCTCGTGCATGCTTCCTCGTTTGTCCACTCACCGCAGCCGTTGGCACGAAATTGGCAGTGTCTGGACGAGTGCCCCTGCGCTGATACAAGAACGGGTGCTTTGACTTTTGTTACGTTGCCTTGAGATTGTCTATTCATCTTGCCTTTTCTCGGGCCCCACTCCCTCAGAGTAGGACAAGGTACCGATACCGCTACCCTTGCCTCGTTTCCCCCTCTTTGGGCTTCCTGGGAGGCCCTCGTCGCCACCGCTGGATTCTCCTTGAAAGTGGAAGATAATCACTTGGAAATCCTCAGACATATGCTCTGCGAGGACGGCGGCCATGACATGAAGGACATAAATATTAAGTGGAACACCAGGGTGGTCACTTTGAAAGGCAGGAACGTTGCATGGGTGGAGGGCGGCACCATGAAGTATTAGGCGGAGGGTGAGCAGGTAAAGGAAGTCGCCGATAAATACATGGAGGATTGGATGAAGAAGCGGAGCAATGATGACAACTGACATGAAGAAATCATCACATCAAGTGGAGGAGGGCGAGCACAAAACCATAATGTTTGTGGGGGTTTTCCTCTGGCAGCGCTGCGCGGCGTAAAGACGCGGCAAGTACAGGTGATAGCATCAAGTATAACGCACCATACGGAACACACTATTCAGACATCTCCTGTTTTCCACGTTCTTCATTTGAATGTCCGCAGCCTCGTATCCGATGACCGGATTGCAGAGTTGCTATTGGAGCTAAAGCATGTTCATTGGGATTTCGTGCGCTTGAACGAGACATGGCGGCCTGAAGCTAGAGAGTATTTTGTTCTGCGTGCTGGACACGCTTTCGCCGGATGCGGCCGGGACCAACAATCACGACGTGTTTGCATTCTTATTCACAGCCGCTGGGTCCTGCACGTACGATCTGTTACAATAGTTCGTGAGAGAACATGTTTTGTTGATGCACAGTGTGGATCTTTGCGCATGCGGTTGGCGACTGCATATTTTCCTCACTCTGGCTATGGAGATACACGCGTGCAGAGTTTGTACGATTCTTTGTCGGAGGCTCACCGGGAAACGCATTGTAAGCGCTTTCGTTTCGTGCTGAGTCCTGAGTGGCGACTTCAACGCGGAAGCGGGTAGCAGAGAAGAGGGTGACGTACGACACAGTACTGGTGTACACGGGCCCGGGAAAACCAATGCTAGAGGCCATTGGTTGAAACATTGGTTGCGCATCATACGTCTTAGTATCGCCAACACGTTGTTCTCCAAGAGACGGGAATACACGGCGACGCATACAGGTACAAGTGGTTATACTTTGGTCGATGTGAAGCTTTCACCGCACGTCGTGGACTCTTGCACGGATTTGTCATTGAACATGGGCAGCGACCACAAGTACGTTCCTACCAATCTGAGGTATACCACCCGGCCCCGGCGTGAGAAGAGGACATCCATAAAGCATATCATGCATTGGGCTTCTGTGGATGCGACTGTTTACGCAGAATTTTTCGACGAGAAAACTCACAATTAAAAAGTCCCAGATAATGCCGGCGCCGCTTGTCAGAAAATAGAAGATTAATTGTTGGAGTCAGCGTTGACTGCCGAGTGCAGGCGAAGCCACCACGCCGTTTGCAGCGACGGTGAATCCAGATTGCGGCGCTCATTGGAGCAATGGAAAGCGTTACGACGAGACCAGACCTTGGACAAAACATCACTGAGCAAGCAGATATCCAGGGAAGTCCTGGCACTGCGACTAGAACGGGCCGCATCAAGGATTAGTGTACTCTTGGATTCCTTCCGCGATTTCAAAAAGATCCCTATTGTGAAGACAGTCAAGCGGAAACAGCTTATCACGCATATTGTTGACGACGCTGGAACTGCGCATACCGACAGGCAGTCCATCGCCAATGTTTTTGCTTATCTTTATTCGGATTTACATTCATCTGTAAACGCCGATCCGGCCCAGCATTCTGCTGCAACTATTCCTTTGCAGGACTTCCCGGAGTTTGCGCTGGACGAACTGAGGGCAGAAATCCGAAAGCTCCGGCGAGGCAAGTGCAAAGACGCGCGTGGAGTCATGACGGAGATGATCAAGGACGGCGGTGAAGTAGTTGAACAAATTTTGTTGCAGCTGTGCAACAACATCATATCGCCGAAGGGTCTGCCGCCACAGGCATGGAAAGAGTCTGTCGTCACTGTTCTGCACAATTCCGGCGACCCCACGAAAACCATGAGGGACCGGCCAATTACAATAATACGGGTTCTACACAAATTGTTTGTGAAACTGTTGCGCTCGAGGTTGTACCCCGTTCTGGACAAACACCAATCAATCCGCAGACCAAGCTGGATTCAGAGTTGGCGTTTGCACTACGCATCATCTCTTCGCAATGACAGCATTGCAGGAATCATGCAATGAGTGACGGCAGAATCTGTGGATATCTACCATCGACTTCAAGAAGGCTTTCGACTGCGTAGATCACGAATGCTTGTGGCACGCGCTGACCCGACAAAGCGTATCAATTGGATGCATTCGTCTGTTGCGGTTGTTGTATTCCGACCAATCTGCTAGAGTGAGAATTGACAAGTTGAGTAAACCATATCATATCTTGTGGGGCACGAAGCAGGGGGACCCTTTGAGCAGCCATCTTTTCAATGCCATAATGGAGCACATTCTTGGCGATGCCAAGACGACCTGGCTGAAGAAGCGGTGGGGCCTCACAGTCGGTGAGACCAACCTGTGGCGACTCACAAACCTGCGTTTCGCTGGCGATGTCATGCTTATTGGTACTTCGCTCAATCAGATCAAGGGCGTGCTTGCAGACATTCATACGGCAGCCGGCAAGCGTGGATTGGAATTACATCCAGATCAAACAAAGATTCTTCCGAACACTACCAGGGGGACGGGGCGCCCCAAGGGACAGAGTATCCAGATTGGTGAGATGTGCATTGACGTCGTACCTCATAATTGTCACGTAAAGTATCTGGGCTGGAAGGTATGTTTCGACCGCCCGCGCGAGACGTAGCGTGACAACAGGATGGGCGCAGCTAGGAAAATAATTATGTCGCAACGTTCGATTCTGACTAATCACAGGTTTTCGCTCAATTCGAGACTCCGTCTATTCGATTGCACAGTATCTTGATTTGTTTTATATGGGAACGAAGCATGGGTGGTTACAAGTAACCTGGAAGACAAACTACGCAGAACGCATAGGAAGATACTGAGGATGATTTTGATGAGCAAGAGGTGCCTGGCACCTTCTGGACAAGAAGATTTTCATTCGTCGATGGACAATGTGCGCGTGCCGGACATCGTGGAGGACGCTTTAGAGCCGTGGCCTGACTGGATCAAGCGCACGACCCATGAAGCAAAAGAGAGATTGGACTAACTATCTCTTCGTGATTGGGTTGACTTACCCAAGCGGGCGGTCGTACGATGGCTTGATCAGTTACGAGAGGGCACAAACACATGGGCGCATATGATATTTCTATGGCATCCCAGTCACATGACACAGAGAGCTGTGCGACCCAGAAGGCGATGGAAGGACGCAGCTGTAGAATGCGCACTCTAACGATTACAACATGCTGAACTTGTTCATCGGGGCCTGAGGGCCTGCCGCGCTGCCCACAAGTGGGCCGTCCTTTGGACGTTCTGCGCGTGTCTGTCTGTCTGTCTGTCCTGGGAGAGGTCCGGGGAGTAGCGGCGTCGGTGCAGTTTGGCTTCCCGAACCTCTGAGGAGAAATGGCACCGACCTGGAGATCCGAGGCTCCGAGCAAAGATTGGAGCGACAACTTTTGTGATCGTTTTTTATTTATTGTTTTGCCGACCGGTGCGGGCCCTCGCACCCCCTCCACCCGCTCCATGGAGTAGATCTTGGTTGTTTTTTGGCGCCTGTTTCGAGCGGGTGGGCCCCCCCCATGGGGCGCGCTGTTGCAAACAGACGCATCAAGCAGAGGTCCAGAGGCAGACGCCCCCTCCCCTCCTCCTTCCGCCTAACGTCTAAACGCTTAAGAAGAAAACGCTCACTTTGGGCCTCTCTCGGCCTCGGGCGCCCTCGGCGGGCCGCAAGGCAGCTTTTGCAGGGTCGTGTCGAGGAAGCTCAACCACGCGCAGAGGGGGGTAGTAGGGGAACGAACAATGACCTAATTTAAAAAACTTGGGAGGTCCGCGCGGATTTCTCGCATCGGCTCTGGGGCCCCCCTGGCGGCGCCTCCGGCGCTGCCCCTGGCGCGGATCCGCGCGCCAGGGAGTCCAGCGCGGATCCGAGAAATCCGCGCGGACCTCCGAGTTTTTATGTTTGTGTCATTGTTCGTTCCCCTAGCAATGCAGTTTTAGCAGGGTCGTGTCGAGTAGTCTCAGCCACGCGAAGAGGGGGGTGAGGGGGGGAGGAAAAGTTTCTCAGAAATACCTTTGCTTCTCAAAAAGGCGCGGGCCTCGTCTGTAGATGCAGGGCGGGCGCCTTCCAAGAATCAGCCTCCGTCTAAGAAGCCTTCCCCCCTCCTCTGCCCCCTTGTGCGCGCCGTCAACGCTGAGCCCTTCAACCGCCTTGGATAAGCAAAGCAACTTTTGCAGGCTCGTGTCGAGGAATCGTCCGGGGGATTTCCCTGGAGGCACTTCTTCCTCCTGCGTCCGTATCTGACAGTCCCGGGACCCGAAAACTGCCCTTTGGAGGCCAGGAAAGGCGAGAAACCGAAGACGACAAAAACAGACACATGACGATTCAAGTTGCCTTACTTTTCCAGGGCAGCGTGAGGACAATGAACGGCTTTCAGGTTCAGCTTGCGCTGTTCAGGGCTTCTGTGCCCCAGAGCCCCGTGCCCCCCGGTTGTGCCGAACGCGCAGCGGGGACGATGCAAGTGTAATGGCTTGCGCACGTATGGCGAGCTTGGCACATGACGTACCCTAACACAGGCATGCTCGCGCCGTTACAGAATCACGACGGGAGAATTCTGGCCCTCGTCAGGTCCCATGACTGTCAAACAACGACTCGCGATGAACAACTGGTCCCAGGGAAATGGTCGAGATTTCTAGGGACCCCGAATTGAAAAAATGAAGGAATCGCAAGTCTGTGAATTCGTCTTCTGCTCTCTGTGGGACGCTTGTCAGGATGCTGCGCTCCCTCCCCCTCCTTGTCCCCCCCCTCCTCCGCCTTTTCCTCCTCCTCCTCCTCCTCCACCTCCTCCTCCTCCTCCCCTCCTCCTCTTCCTCGTCCTCCTCCTCCTCCGCCTCCTCCTCCTCCTCCTCCTCCTCCTCCTCCTCCTCCTCCTCCTCCTCCTCCCAAAGGAAGCGAAGTGTTCGAAGTGTCGGTCGTTCCCGGAGATCCCAGGTTGCGAAGAAATGCAACATCGCAGAATATCGTGACCGGAGCCCTCGACCTTATCTTACTGTGGCATTTCACGACCAGGATGGACTCGTGATGGCCCCGGGAATGTCCACCGTGAAACAGTTTTAATTCCCGAGAGTCTCAGGGATCGTTCGCCCTCGCCAGGAGCACGGATCGCTCGCCCCTGGCTTTCGGGTCATTGCTCGGCTCTCCGGCGGCCGTTGGGGACGATCCTGGCGCCTCCAGGACGCCCTCGGCGAGGCGCAGCTGCTGGAGACCATCCCGCTGAGGCTGGAACTCCGCGGAGAACTAACGGATAGATATTAGGTATGTATATATATATATATATATGTATATATGTATGTATGTATGTATGTATGTATGTATGTATGTATGTATGTATGTATGTATGTATGTATGTATGTATGTATGTATATATATATATATATCCAAAATCGAGTCTCGAACCTCGAACCTCGAGCCTCTGATCCCGAGGCGGGACAGCCGACGTGGGGCCGACGAGAACGCCCGCGAAACTCGAGGGCCTCGGTCCCGCCAGGAGTACCCGTGGCCCCTGCCTGGCGGCGCCGCGCTGGACGCGATCGGCGGGAGGCTGCCCCAGGCCTCGGGGGAGGGGCTCGGAGGGCACGCCGTTCGGACGTGCGCAAAGGGGGGGGGGTGGGGTTAAATCGGGGAATATTCAAAAATAGCCACAGAAATATTAAGGGGCACGATTTGTTGAGCTCTTTTGTGTTGTGTGTGAGAGAGAGGGAGAGAGGGAAAGAGAGAGAGAGAGAGAGAGAGAGAGAGAGAGAGAGCGAGAGAGATTTTTTTTGGGGGGTATTTCTATTGTTCGTTTTAAATCCAGCTGTAAGGAGACATGCCCGACCTACGGTTAGTTAGAGGGTCGGGGTGAAGGCTTCTTAGAAGCTCCCCTGCTTTTCACCCCCGTTCCCCGTCCCCGTCCCCGTCCTCCTCCTCCTCCTCCTCGTCCTCATCCTCCTCCTCTTCCTCCTCCTCGTCCTGGTGGTTGGCTCAAGACCTGAGCACACCGCGGGAGGTGCAGGTCTCAGCATTGCCATCCAGGGCAGGCCCTGGGTGCTGGGGCCCAAGCTTGTTTGCTCTGCCCCCGTGCCTGCCTGGTCAGCCCCAGGCAGAGGCACAATCACGTCCCGCATCAGTGCTGCCATAGGGCCTCTCGTGTGCGTGCGCCAGCGTGCCGCCATCAGGAAATGCCCGCCCAGCAGCAGAAGAAGTACATGGTCTGCTCGAAGCGGGGCTGCAAAGGCTGGGCTTGGTGCTCGACGAATTCTCGTCATTGTATGCAGTGTGGCAGCCGTTTCAAGCAGGGCGGGGATCACGGTCCCCCAGCTCGACCCCAAGGTGGTGGAGGTGGCCCCCAGGATGTTCGGCCTGACGTCGAGGAGGAGCCCGCCAAGCCTGGACGCTGGAGGAAAGGCTCCCGCGGCCCAGAGCGCCCACCAGGCTTGGGGCGCGGAGGCGGCCGAGTGGTTACCTTCGAGGATGCAGTTCCCGCTGACGACCCAGTCGCCCTGGCTCAAGCTCAAGTCACCTTCTGGAAGAAGTGGAAGCCAGATGGAGAGGAGCACAAGGCGGCGTTGGGCAAGCTCAAGTTCGCCAAGGCGCAGGCGTTGTCAGCCAAGAGCCTGGAGCAGCAAGCACAATCCTTGTCAGATCAGCTCCAGGTGTTGCGCCAGAGGTTGCAGGCGCAGAAGCAGGAGGCCAGCGAGCTGGTCACCACAATTGTCGAGGCAAGTGAATATCACGGCAAGCTGGTCGAGGATATCGAAGCTAATTCAAAAGAAGTGCAAACGCTGGAGACACAGCTCAATGCGGCCACCCAGGCGGCTGCGTATGAGGCATCCAAAGCTGAAGATTGGCTCACCACCATTCAGGGAGTTATATCCGCCAGAATGCCACAGGGAGGACTGGCCCCACCTGAACTACGAGACAAAGTATCGGAGCTGGCCGCCATGTTCGACACCTTGCAGCAGCAACACGTCGCATCCCAGGCCTCGGGCGCGCCAGCAGGTGGCGGCCTGCCTGCGGCGGCGGCCCCGCGCGGGGTCATCATCGACGGTTTCCCTGCAGTTGGAGAGAACCCTGATGATGGCCAGGCAAGTCAGACGCCCGCGCCTATCCCAGGCCAGCACGTCCCCACTCCTGCCGACGACAAGGAGCTGGAGACCATGGCAGAGGCGCAGGCCATGGACACGTCTGAAGGCCGCCGCCGTGCGGCTGCTGCGCTGTCCGAAGTCGCCCAGGGCATGGCCAAGATCCAGAGTGAGTCAGGCCCCGAGACCAAGAGGGTCAAGGCGGCGGCCGAGGCTGCGGCGCTCGCGGCCACCCAGGGCCAGAAGCCGCCAGGGTAACACTTATAAGATCGCTACTATCAATGGTTCCTGCTGGCCTGCTGTGCGCAAGTTTGTTCTTTCGCCGCAGTCTAGTGCAGTCGCGATCATCTGTGCCCAGGAGTGTAAGCTTGCCGACGGAGATCGCATTGTGCGTCAGATACAATGGTGCTCGGCCCAGGGGTGGCTGGCTTACATCGCGCCTGCAGCCACGAGTGAGAATAATGAGTTGGTTTCGGGAGTTGCGATTTTGATTCGGGATGGCTTGGACCTGGGGGTCCAGCCGATCACTTTTTCTGCCGCTTTCGACCCCGCTCGATTATCGGGGGTGCTGCTTGAACTTCCGGGGGTCCCGAAGTTCGCCATATGTAGTACCTACTTTCAGGCTGCTGCTGGTCTCTCCGAGACCAATTCAAAACTTCTGGCCGCCATAGGCCAACTTCAGGATGATTTGGCCCATCCAGTTTTGGTTGCGGGGGATTTTAACCTGGCCCCCTCTCGGTTGGCCCAGGCGGAGTTTCTGTCCAGGTCCACGATGACCCTGCTTGTGCCGCCGACCGCCACCTACAGAAACAAGACGACTAAATCCACTCTAGATTATTTCCTGTCTAGCCAAGGCCTCTCGCCGTGGCTCAGTAACCCCCGTACTCTTTCCTCGTATCCTCTCTCCCCTCGCAGACCTGTGCTGCTAGATATTGTAGTTGTGAATAACTTTAATATCCCCACGCTGCATAGGCCCCAGAAGCTACCCACACGTATCCCTGTGGGCCCGCAATTGCCAGAAGTGAGTTGGCACCAGTCAGCTGCTGCATTGGAGTGCGCTTCACTATTGATCGATGATGCTCGACGGCCGCTCAGCGATCAACAGCAGTCGGTGATCCTGGACCACGTGTATTTCAGCTTGGCCCAGGACTTGGAAGCTACGATCAGTAAGAAAACTAACACCCCCCTCAAGCCTAGCAAGTACCCCAGGGCCCACCCCCCTCAGGTTCTTATGGTCCCCGCTGAGGCCAAGGCTGCTAGGAGTGGGGCTAAATGGGTGGCCTACACGGGCCCGTTGAGATGGCTCATCAATAGGATTCAAGATTTCCATAGATGTGTTCAGGACTGGAATCTCACTGAGTTTCAGGACGCTCTCGACAGCTTAGAGGATTGCCCTGAGCTGTTCACCACCGTCGTGTCCCTCAAGGAGGGGCTGCAGGAGATTAGAGTTGCTGCAGGTCTGTTGCACGTTGATTTCAGCGCTGGTGCCCTGAACCAGGCGCTGGCGATCCAGGTTCTGGACGAGCTGCTAGAGCACGTCACCAAGCTCCTGCATCAGGAGCAGGCGGCAGAGAACGCTGCAGACGGGAAGGCATGGAGGGATTGGGTTCAGGACAACATGAAGGGAGGAATGGGATGGGCTCGCAGATGGACCAAGCGTTTGGAGGCCTGGAGGCCCTCGTCAGTTCCATTTAAGTCGCAGTATTCTGGCAGGCCCCAGCATATATTGCAGGCTGAAGCCGATCGTCTGGCAAAAATATGGCAGGTTTCCCAGGATACCCCACCGCAGCTCGTTCCTGACAGAGATGATCGTATTGCCCTGGGCCCCATCAGCCCCAAGAGATTACGACAGGTTGCGACAAGTTTTCCCCATGCCACTGCCTCTACCTGGGACGGTTTCCACCCTGGGCATTTCAGTATGTTGAATAACGAACAGGCAGAGATTGTCTGCGATTTTATTGGCCTGCTTGAAAAGATTTGACATATGCCAACCCAGCTCCAAGGTATCGTATCGACTCTGATGATGAAGTTGAAACAGCATGATGCCCCAGCCAGCCAGCCATCTTTCAGGTCCATTGGCATGCTTCCAGCTTTGTACAGAGTCTGGGCTAGGCTCAGGAGGTCAGCGGCCAGAGAGTGGGAGGCACACCACCGCAGGCCGTACCTTGCTCATCAGGCTGGTCACTCCATAGTGGAATTAGTATACAAACAATCCTTGGAATGCGAGTTCAACAGCTCTGACAAAGATCAACAATATAGTGCCCAAGTTCTCTATGATTTATCTAACTACTACGAACATGTTGATCGGCCTTGTCTTGCTTACCGTGCTGTTGAATCAGGTTTTCCGTGTTGTTTATTGCGTATCATATTATCTCAATATGCCAGTGAACGCATAGTTGCACTACAAGGTTGCGCAGTCAGTGTAGGCAAGCCTTGGAGGGGCATAGCCGCAGGATGCAGTTGGGCCACCTATCTTGTGCAAATGTATGTGCTCGCCCCGCTCGACGTGTGGACGCAGGCGCATTGTCATATCAGGCTCGCGATGTTTATAGATGATCTGCTGCTCCAGTGCCACGGCCGCAGTTACAGCCTCATCGTCAGCCAGCTCAATATTGCTGCCAGGTCCATGGCAGACTGCATCGTCAATGAGTTTAAGTGCCAGATCGCCAGCAAGAAAAGTCAGGTCCTGGCGTTCCAACAAGCCCTTCAGGATCAACTCAGGACGGCTCTCGGGCCTCTGGCGGGCCCGAACGCGGATAGGTCAGGACCTAACCTGGGTTGTGAAACTGGGGCTGGACGGCCCCAACGACGATGGAGAAAGCAGCGTAAGATTTCGGAGCGTCTTGATAAGATGCGTAAAAGACTTAACAGGGTTCGCATGCTCAAGAGAGCTGGGGGTAACACTCATAAGTTGTATAGGACTGGCCTCGAGGCGGCCACCACGTTCGGAGTCGAGGTGACTGGCATCAATGGCGCGCAGTTGGAATCAGCTAGGTCGCAGTTTTTGGCTGCTGCGGGACCCCGTTGCCCGACGCGCAGCCGCAGTTTGGCTCTGCTCATCCTCAGGGACCCCTTGTGGAAAGCTGCCCTGGGCCCCGCCATTATGTGGCACCGCCTTGTCTGGGACGCCGCCACCCGCCCCCACCTCGCCGTGACCAGTCTCCAGCAGTTGCGTGTTTGGGCTGAGGCCATCCTCCCGAGAGTTGCTAAATCTTGGGGCTCCTCCAGGGGCCCCCTCAGCGCCGCGGTGCTTCCGCTTAAGAGGACCGGTTGGAAATTCCAGGGACCATTTACTTTTGTGACCTCCTCAGGCATTGAGTACCCTCTCCCAGGACATTCCCCCGCCCTCCTCCAACAGCTCATGGAGTTCGACTGGCGCGGCCAGCTCGCTTCCAAGGCGGCCGAGAAGATCGGCCACCCGAACGCCCAGTTAGATGTGGTTGCTGCCCGTGCTGCTCTGTCATCGCCAGACCTCCTTGGCCACCAGAAGG